TTATGGCGAAACTATTTTCTTTCCAGTTTTGTATCAAAGGTCCAATGGCGGTTATTGGAACAGTCAGTACACTGTAACCAATTTATTAAGCATGCTTCTTAACAGTAGGGCTTTTTTCTAAGGGTTTCTTTATCCCTTCAATGATAGCATTATGTCCGACGCTTCGGTAATACTGAACTTTTTCATGCCCATTTTCTAATAAACCAGCTGCTGCTAATTGCAAATGGCAGAAGGAATCTTCAATTTCAGCTGGTTTCTATACTCTTCATGAGCTTTTGCACATTCTTCAAGCTGCTCAACACTTCTTCCTCCAAGTCATTCTAGCTTTCAACTATAACTTCCCTTTTAGACTAATTTCTTTTAAACTCTTAATGTAAATCAACGAGGTTGTTGCCTATATCTAGCGACTCAACATTAACAAATATTAGATTTTTCTCAATTAAGAAACATTACGTGTTTAACACTTAAACAAATGTTTCTCCAATTGTTTTAATTAGAAGAATGTGCGTGAAAAATACTGAGGGCTATGAAACCCTCTATGGATTGAATCATTAACATAGAATTGCTTGAGTGTTTTCAAAGTTTACCTTGAATTTCTGCAGCAGAGCAAGTTTAAACTAAAGTTTCATTTTGAGTTCTTCCACTTCCTGAAAATTTCAGGCGACAAAAAAATGCTCATCTATTAAATTCTTGGTGAAAAAAAGAACACAATGCATCAAAAAGTCTTCCTTTTAATAAAAGTATGTATTCAAACATTTTACTTCATTCATAGCTTCACTGTTAAGACAAATGGGGTTCTACTTGCCTCATTTGAACATTAACTATAAAGAAATGTCTGATTTTTGGGATGTATGATCAGACAGTAATCATTGAAATCCAAAAAAAGTCCTATAAATAACTTCCATTTAAAAACACCAACAAACCCAGTCTGCAGTGGGTATGTGGGCCATCATGTACTTCGGCATCTGTGTAACAGCAGTGGGTAAATATGGGCAGAAAATCAATACAGCCACTTTATCTGCACTCCTGTGAGTAGTAAAGCACTGGCTGCTTCTTTCCATGTTACTGATGTCTGTAGGAAAAACACCCGACTCTGTTCCCACTGGATCTGTTAGATTCCTCACTCACTCCATGCAGATTAAAACCATGATAACATCTATGGGAAGAAGCTAGCAGGCGTGTATTAGTACAGTAATAGCGTATCGTTTAATCCAAGTGTGCGTTTTGACCCACCTTTGACAAAGCAAGCTGGATAAAATGACATGCATCAGATCACTTAACAGCAGGATTGCAAACCAACATTAACCACAGGTTGGCAAATATTAGCTGAAGCCAGGCGGGGCTGGGTTTATTATCCAGCCTACAAGTCTGGCTTCGCTCCAGCCTTTGTTTGGGTCAGGCGGTGGAATGTTACAGTGATGATAAGCGCCCTTTAACTGCCACCAGGGCACATGTATTAGAACTAAACCGTATAATCGGACATATGAATCACCTCAGCATTACCCAGACGCTGTGATGAAGACTGCAATTTGATATGCTGTGCAGTTTTAATGGTCAACATCAGCAGAGGCTCAGAACCCACCTTTTGTTTTTTAAAGGGTCATGCTGTGAGTGTATACTCCAACAGCAAGAATGTTTTTATTAAAGATTACCACATCATTGTTTGGTATTTTTGGGTTCAAACAATTATCTGTGCTTGGTTTGTTAGTAAATAAAGCCTTTTCTCTATATTTACAGCAACTAAGGGGCTGTTACCAGTAATTGATCTCACATTGGAGAAATCTACCTCTGCATTTAACCCAACTGCCATTGTGTGGCGCCCTGGGAGCAGTGTGGGGTTACGGGTCTTTGCTCAGAGACCCAGAGTGGCAGTCTGTGGGAGTGGAGCTAGAACTCAGAACCTCAGGATTCCCAGCTCTATGCCCCAACCACTAGGCCACCACTCCCCTAAAAGACGCAAAGTCACTGTCTGGACCGGGATTTGAACCCACGCCTCCTAATGGAGACCAGAAACCTCTAAGCTGGTAACGAGTGATACCTTGAGTCTGGCACCACTCGGCCATCCTGACTCTATACTCTAGGCTCTATGGCTCTATGCTGCAAGATTCAGAATTACAATAGGATTATACCGATACTGACTTTTAATGAACATAATGGCCACAAAAACTCTCTTTTTATGTACATTTCTATGATTATTTGCACATATACGAGGGGAAACATGAACCCTGCCGTTGGCTCGGCTCTTTGAGGAAAAGACTTTACACTACAGGATGGTTTGCCCCTATTCAACAGTGGTTTCTGTCTGCTCATCAAGCCAGGTACTGCAATTCTATTTAGGTTCAAAAATGACTTTCGAAACACTATCAGGACAGAAGCTTGGAGTCAATAACTTTATTTTATCCAAATAAAAGGTTATTTTTGGTCTTTTCTGTAGAGGTGTAAAATGTGACTATGCCCCTTTAAATTTTACTGTTTGAGTTTTACTGCTTGATCAAACCTTTTCTTACATTTTACACTACAAAATGAGTAATAAAATTAAGATTATCTGTGCCAAGGTCAATATCTGTATGAATCATTTCACAGAATATGTATTCAGGGTTTATACAGGAGTAATTAACTCCAATTTAATGCATTTAATGCTCTTTGAATGCTGTTAGAAATAATTGTAATGCCATCAACAAGTACCCATGGCTCTTACATACACACACACACATATATATAGATACACACATATAATATATCTATAAAAAAAAAAAAAAAAAGGCAAAATCCTTCATCTTTACCATTGAACAGCTGCAGCCATGTCTCAAATTCCTCTCTTTCCAGCCACTTTTATTAAAATTTGCATTTTCCCCCATTCTCTAGCTGTTTCTCCACCTGAGGCTTCTTTTCCGAACACGATCAACCAGAAGCAGTTCCCCACAAACACACGGAACCAGTTATACCTGATATATCTGACGAAATTGTTTTTATAAACTTTTTTTTTTAAATAAAGCATTTGAAATGCCACGATAATTAAATTTAATTAACTGTAATGCCAATGAAGGCCTTAATTTTAAAAATGATAATTTAATGACTTTTAATGACCCGTGAAAACCCTGGTATTGGTGAAAAAACAATGAGGCTGATACAATTAAACTGATTTTATGGTGATTTGTTTGCGTTAGTAAATAATATGTTGGAGGAGTGACTTTAAAGAAGTTCTGAAACCAATTCTGAGGGATTTTCATCCAAACAGATGGATATCTTTAACAGGCAGACGGTTCCTGCCATTAGCGTTAAATGTCTTTCATATACTTAAGTAATGTTTATTTATATAGCACCTTTCACAGACATAGAGGTGACAAAGTGCTTCACAAAATTACAATACAATTAAAAATACATTTAAAGTCCCAAAAGGCATGGTTATAAAACATCCCTTAATCTACTAGAATTAAAAAGCTTTCTTAAACTAATAGGTGTAAGATGTATGAAGACCTACAGGCTATGGTGGACAGAAAGGTGGTAAAAACCAAAAAGAATTAGGAAAATATTGACTATCTTCAGATCTTTAACGACAATGAAACTGTTTTTGATTAATCGATTGATTGATCTCACAGTAGAGAAATGTATTCGTTACATCAGCTCCAATATTCACAGGAGAAGAAGAAGGTGCCAAAAGAAGAAAAAGGTGCATGGGATATATACAGTAAAATGTTTTTTCATAGCGGGATAATTATATAGGGTTATTGAATAGGGTGTTTACACATGTATTCTATATGTAAACAAAACCCTTTCAAGGTTGTTTTTTTATTCAATTTCCACTCATTAATATTGAATTGTTTGTTATTGGTGTGCATGTTTTTTTAGATGTTTAATAGAAAGACATTTTTTGTTTTTCTGAGCCATAATCCAGCCCCACCCACCCGATAGCAAACTGAACGAAAATGTGATGCTTTGATAAAGACAGGAACAGATCCTGTTTGAGGAATGCAGGCAAACCAGCCATGTGAAGTGGAGGAAATGTGAGGGCCACACACTGACAGCTCCAACATGTTCAAACACAACCTGAGGGAACTGGTGCAGAGCAAACCCAAACAAGGAGCACTCACCCCTTTTCAGCAGTAAACCCCAAATGGAAACAGACACTTGTTAGAGAAAGTTTTTGTTTGTAAAGCAGCCTGTTCTGTTAGAACCATTGCTTTGACTCTGACCTATGCAGCAGCTGAAAGCAGGAACCTGTTTCACCACATAGCAGACACCTGAGGCAAGTCCAACAGAGCCCCCCCCAACCCAAAACCACAGCCAGCTGGATGCAACATACACTAAATCCACTCAGAGCACATTTCCTCTAGATAGTGCTTCAGCTGGATCACTTAAATCACCAAGATGCACCATTAAACAGCATTTAAATCAACCAGTTCTTACATTGCAGCAGCAGATTCTGCTTTCAGGCTGAACTCTGGGGACCCCCAGAAACCCTCACCCCCCATCAGCTGACAGCTTCCAGAAACCTTTCTGGGTCAGTGGATTCACCTCCTCATCCTGTCAGCCTTTAAGGCAAACCACGAAAGAGGAAGTTAACCTTTGCAGCCCAGAGGAGAACATGGAGTTTCCTTAGTTATCCCACAAAACTTTAGACCGAGTCAGCAAAGTCGGGAGGGAAATTAAACGAGAAATACATTTTTTTTAAACTAATTTAGTTCAAGTTGACGGTGAATGAACCGATTTTCCAACTTAAATACAAATAAAAAGGCGCTAAATAGTCCAGGACATCCATGGATGAAGCTGGGAGCTCAGAGCTAGCTGGCTAGGCTACACAGCTAGCTGCAGGCTTTGCTAACTTTATCTATCGGCTTCCAGATGCGAATAAAAGAATTATTAGGGCGCAGATACTTGCTTTCATTGTATGTCTACATTTTTTTCACTAGCCTTTTGGAGACTGTCTGGAGAAATAAAAAAAAAAGGAAGAAAAAAAAAGAAGAGCGTGAAAACAAGCGCCACATCAGTGGAAAACTCACCCATTCCTGCCTGTCGGAGCGCCCCGCAGAGTCGGGAATCCTCCTAACGGCTAACAGCTACAGCCCAGGTAGACAGAGGCAGCCAGTGGGTGTTAGTGGAAATACAGCTGAAAACAAGCTAAAAGAGCCTTATATCCATCCGTCCCGTCGCCTCGGCAGCGCTCCTGTCCTCCCTGACTCCTCTCGCTTAAAGATTACGGTGCAGGAAGTTAGCCAGGAGTCGGAGTCTCCACCTTTCTTGGACGGAGCTGTGCCTGCTTCCTCCGCTCGCTGCTTTTCTCTCTCCTCCACAAACACAGAGGAGGCGGAAACTTCGCGAGGTTTCAGGCAGGGTGGGGGGGATTCCAGCGAGAATTAAATCCCCATCCTGCAGAGCATGTACAGTAGATGCAGACGCTGCGAGGGACAGATGGACATTTGATTCAGAGGCGGTCCAAAATCATATGAGGCCCTGGGATGGGGAGGGAGGGGGACTCTATGTAAATAATAAATGTTTGATAGCAGATATCCACTAATTGAAGGAAGATTATGGAGGAAAGCTACATTCTTTTAGCTAGATCTACACCATTAATCATTGTAGCACCAGGGGCAGAGCTAGATGGGGGGCCAGGGGTGGCCATTGCCACCATAAAGGTCGGATTACATATATCGAACGTCGCTTGTGTCCGCTCTTCTACATGGACCAGCTAGAAGGGCGAGGTGCGCGAGAAAGCTGGGAACCTATTTCCACCTGGATCCCCGCTCTTTTTCGCCCTCATGTCCCTCCATTATTGCACAAACTTGCCCTCACTTCCTCACCGCCTCTGCCGTATTTAGACCCACAGGTAGTTCCTGATTGTCCCTCTTGCGTTGTGGCATGGAATAACAGCGCAGAACACGCTTTAATATTGACAACCTCACTGCGACGCACTACTGACGGAGTATAACCAGCTCTTGAGACTTAGACAACTTTTACTATAATTTTTTTATAAACAGTGTATACAAAACCAAATACATTAAGTACAGCTTTTCAGACAATAAATGATCATTTACATTCCATAAAGTGCAGCAGTGATCAAATATTAACAGTGTGGGAGAAAAAACATGGTGCAAAAAAAAAAAGAAACTAATTGGACTGGCATGGCTATCACGGCCCCTGCATAGTTAGGGACTAATTTCCCGCTGGGATCAGCTTCATAGTCATGGTAGAACACTTCTTTGACTTTATTTATTTTGCTCAGGCTACTCGTAAGTAGGGATGGGAATCGAAAACCGGTTCCTGTTAAGAACCGGTTCCGTATTTTCCGATTCCATGGCATCGTTTGGCAGCTCGCTGAATGATTCTTTTTTCGATTCCCGCAGCACCAGAGCCTAGAGCGCCGGCTCTGGGGAGCACGACTTACGTCATGTTTTTTACGTAAGTTACGCAACTTACGCAAGTTGGAAGAACTATTCGAGGAGGAAGACAACGAGCTGCGGTCACTTTGTGAATCAAAGCCCCGTCTTTCCTTAGCCCAGAGGGTAGATCTGGACTGGCTGAAAACTACCTCTGTGTGCAGGCTTCCTCCACCCCATCTGAGAGGGTGTTCTCCACGGCTGGAGACACCATAAGCCCTGAAAGATCCTGTATCCTTCCAGAAAAAGCAGATATGCTCATCTTTCTGCAAAATAACTGTTAATTTTCCCTACTACTGTTTTATAATTAGTATTTTTTGTTATTTAAAATAGGTTATTATCCCATCATTTGTTATTAGACATTGTTGGTTATTAAGTTTGTTCTTGTATTCATTTTTCATTTAAACACAGATGTTACTCCAGTTTCACATTTCCTGTGGACATCTTGATCTTGTTGAGTTTGTAAGATTGTGCAATAGTTAAGTAAACAAAGTTGATTCTGATAATCAAACTGTTTGTTCTCCTTTTTCCCCCAAATTGGAATTGAAAAAAGAATCGATAAAGAATCGAATCGTTTCATAGAATCGAAAAGGGAATCGGAATCGTGAAAATCTTTTCAATTCCAACCCTACTCGTAAGTCCACAGCCTGCCAAATGTTGACATGGCAAAATTATTGCCATTACTGTTAATATATACCGGTAGTAGAAATTTTACACATTCTGTAATAAAATGTCAGCGGGGATGGTATGGGGTGTGGTCATTTAAGAAGGGGGATGATATTTAAGATTTTTTAAAGAAAGAGGATCACATCCCCCCTCAACTCGACTACTGGCTGTAGCACACCATTTTTGGAGATTTTCAGGAAAGCTGTACAAACTCCTCTTACAGTCAAAACCCAATTTTTTGTGACTTATACATTAGCTGAAAAACAACTGCTGCTGTGACCGTGCAGATTAGCTGCTTAAAAGCCACTTTGTTTCCACTTTGAGCCAAAATAATCCCACTATGCCTCAAATCACTGCTCAGAGGAAGTGGGCGTTTGTTTGTTATGCAGACACAACACGGTCAAGGTAGACGTATGGGACCATGATGTTAAAGAAAAACTTAAATTTTAACAGTTTAAAGCTCAAAAATATTGATTTTGCATAACTGAGGCCCTTTGAGGAATAGAACAGATTGAAATAACACTGCTGAAGTTAATTTTACAATATACCGTAAAACTAAATTTGGGATCGAAGACTTCCTTTCCTACCATGATAGAGTTCTAACTGATGACCTTATCAAAGGTGAGGTAAAGGGGAGCTATGGTACTATCTGATGAATTCAGATGCAACCTAGGGCCCCTGTAAACCACCATGCTCTGTGTTTTGATAACTTCTGATGAATTACTCTTTTACACCAGCTGCTCTGGGTTTTTATGTTGACGCAAAACAAAGCACGCTCCCTAAACCTATTCTTGGAGCCAACACCATGGAAGAGTCTCTTAGGAGCAACTTATTTCTCTGAATCTGATGTACAAAGGGCGTTCAATAAGTTATGCCCCTGACCCACTTCCAGTTGTCTCATCTAGCTGCAATATTGTATGTGCAATTATTTATATCTCTATCTATTAAGTCAAGTCTGAAGTGGAACCTGTTGAGTGTCGTGCAGTGATCAGTTTTTCTATGGCATTGTAAGGCCTTGTATAGCCTCATATGGCCGTATAAGGTCATATGATGGGGCATCATCACCACAAGTTACTTTCATTTCATCAAAAGTCTCCCATGGTGTGTGTCCTTTAAAATACACCAAACAGATCATTGCTCAACCCTCGACAGGCTCCATTTCAGACTTGATTCAGTTCAAACACCTGTAAATCACAAACCACTATTAGTTCAGAGCTGTAATTTGCCACTTAGTCTATAGAGATGAAAATAATTGCTCGTGTAAAATTTTAGCTAGATGAGACAACTGGAAGTAGGTCAAGAAGACCACTGGAAGACCCCTTACTAATAGTTTGGTTTTCTCTCTTTTATTTCTTCTTTTTCATTTCTTCTCATGGATAACATAAAGACAAGACTACGTCTTTCTTTACATTTCTATGTTTAATTTTTCAATGTGCCAATAGTTTTACATCACTCAGAAATTCCCCTTTCTTAAAATGTAACAGCAACATTAAAGGTGTACTTCTTTGTGGTATTTTGAGTTTGATATTCAGCGTTAGAATTCTGCTGCTCTTGAAGGCCTCCTGCTTTCTTTGGTGTCCATCAGCAGAGGCAACGGTTACTTATGCCTCGACATGGCTTAGTCATTCACAAACGCCATCAGAAAGTCGAACCCTTGGTAATAAGTCAGCTGGGACTATTTCATGACTAATGTAGCTTTATGGAGCCGATGCGTTACGTAACAGGCATGTCATGATTTACAGAGAAAAAGTAACGTCAGGCATCAGAAGATGGATGAGAACATACACAATGTAAGTTTCTTTCTAGATCATTTTTCTGTGTTGGAAAACTTTAGCTGAAGGCCTCGTATTTCAGACCTTTTTCTATACAAAGGTGCTCAGGTCCTGTTTCAACAACTCAACATACGAGCCCAGACCATCAACCCTCCACCATCATGCTTGTGACTGTTATGTTGTTAATTATGTAATGCAGGGACGGACAGTTATCTCCTCCTAATTGTTCTTTCTTGAAGTTTGTTCAGATGTCCTACAGAAGCACTCTTAAAGCAATCCTTCCAGAAAACAAGTCATCAGCTTTAAAACTTCACATGTTAACTAAGACTTGCAGAGTCTGAAGGCTGATTTATACTCAGAAACCAGGTTGTCTGCATGTGTGTCGCAGTGAATGCAGATACGCCCCTTCCGCAGACAATTTGTTGCACCTCTCCAAAACTGTAGATGACCGCAGACAGGAGGCCTGTGATTGGTCAAATCTACATCCGCTCTACTCTATGCATATTTCCTGTTTAGTACCTTACCGACTTGTTTTGTTTGTATGACCGCCATTGTGGAAAAAGACTCGTGAAGATGGAGCAGCTAGAAGAGCAAGGTGTGCAAGAACGCTGGGACCCTTTACCTTTTTCGCCCTCATGTCCCTCCGTTGCCGCATAAACTTGCCCCCACTTCCTCACCACCTCAGCTGTATCTAGACCCACAGCTAGTTCCTGATTGTCCGTCTTACGTTGTGGCGTGGAATAACACAGTGAGAGCACGCTTCAATATTGGGCATGAATCAAAAATACCTTCGACAAGCTCACTGCGACACACTGCTGCGGGAGGATAACCAGACCTCACTTTTTCAACAGATTCTCTCAGTCGGACTTTATACGTTGCATCATCATAAGATTGTGAAACCTTGTCATAAAACAAAATAAAGTTTGTTGTGTTTCTAAAATGTTATACTTTATATCGATCCCAAGGGAAATATTCCATACTCTATACCATTTTTGATACCAAAGGATAAAAAAAATGACAAGTAATTAAAGGAATAGGAAACGGCAGAGGGGTCTTTTGCCTTTTGTATCTCTGCTTCTGTTTTCTTGAACCCCAGTCGGCCTTGGCAGATGGCCACTCACACTAAGCCTGGTTCTGCTGGAGGTTAAAAGGGAGTTTTTCCTCTCCATTGTCACTGCAAGTATGCTTACAGTGAGGGATTGCCTTTGAGTCAATGAGTCAATGCAATCAACTGGTTTTCCTTAGATTAAAAAATTCTATCAATTTGACTGGATGATCTGGTGAACTGTAAAGGGCCTTGAGATGACATGTGTTGTGAATTGGTGCTATATAAATATTTTTATTTTATTAAACGGAAATATTTTTATCAACATGAATAACACAGTTTTATCATCTCAACATGGAACACGCTTTCTCAACAGAATCACAAATAAATGCACATGTATTTAACACAAGTATAATACTGTTTGACAATATTTTAACGTTGTCTGGTG